AGAGCTTTGATAGACAAAGGAAAAAGAAAAAGGTAGGGGGAAAAGTCATCCTGTTTTCATCCATCTCACCTGCATAATTCGCTGTGATAAATCAGTTGAAGCTGAGAGGTCAAAAGTAGAGTTTGTGATAAAACTAGGAGCAGAATCATTGGATTTGGCTTCTCAGTTGCAGAAGGCAGAGAAACAATAAATACAGAAAGATACAGCAGGTAAAAGGTAATAGTTAAATATAGTAAAAATGTGTTTTTGAATAAAGGCAAAAAAATAAAGAAATGTTTTCACAGCAAAACATTTGATGAAAAAAATTCCTCAAAATGTAAACAAATTCATGGGAAAAGTTTCATTTTTCCTCTCAACGAGATAAATTCTTATGATAGAAAAAGAAAGTAACAAATGTGTGTGTTGTGGGAAAAAAAAAAAAGTTGGTCATGTTTTTGGCTGATCATGTTTCTGGCTGGTCATGTTTTAATAAAAAAACCTACTTTCTAAGACCACAACAACATTATTAATTCATTTTTTTACCTTTATCACAGTTGTCCCCCGTGTATCCGCTGCCGCATTCGCAATATGGTTTCCCAAGTCCTGAAAGCCTACATTTGCCATGTTTACACCTGATGGATTGGCAGGGGTTAAACAGCATTTCCTCTTCATCACAGAGGACTCCCCCATGTCCCTGCAGGCATTTACAACTGTATGAAAATGCATTGATCGGCAAGCAGGTACCATGCACACATCTACAGGGGAAACAAGCCCAAGAGAATAAAAATAAATTATTCATCAAAGTTCAGGCTAAGCAACATTAACTACAAATACTTTGGACTGTGCTCCGAAGAAATTGCTTTTGTTTCTAATGGACTTTTTCAGTGAGATGCAGTGAAGTGGTTTCTAATTGGTATGCAGGTTTACACAAAATAAGCTGCAGTACAGAACTCTCACCAGAAAATAGCCACTGTAGATGTGTTATGGAAGACTTTTACAGGCCACAGTTATTACAAACAACATTTCCTGTCTACCTAAATTTTCTGCATGCTTTTGAGAAGAACATAGCAACATCAAGCCAAAGAAAAAAGGATACTCACCTGAAATTCCAGTTCATGTATCATTAATCTCTCAGTTGAGATTTAGTAAACATTTGTGGCAGGCTCAAACCTCGTTGATAGACAAAAACCATTGTGAGTTAAGCTGCACCTGCTAAGTTCTGATGTACAGCAGTACCACCACACAGGTGGTCTTCCTTCTATTTGAGAGAAGTGTTGTTCCCCAAAAGGAAGATGTTTAGCTACCAGTTCCTAGGTGTAAGCTGAACATTAGGGGAATTCATCTGAAAATATCACCAATGATTGGGAATAAAATCACTTCCCTTTGGTCATTTGGTAGCACAGGGTCAATAACTTTCTTCCTAGAAATAATGTTATTCACTTTAACTGTTGTCTTGATAGACAAGTTTTCTATCTACATACAGTGTCCTAGGGAGACTACAATGAATTTTCCTCCCTGCAATCCTGATGTTCAAGACCACAGTCACCCTTCCTAATGTTTTTCCTCTCTATATTGTAAGATCCTTGAGCTCACAACCTCCTTAGTAGGTTGTGGCAGCCACCTAAATATATTAGAAGCTTTACATGAAAAAAAAATCCCATTTGATCTAAAATAAAATAATTTGTTTCAATAGGAAGATGGCAAAATTTCATCGAAAATTGCATATCATATAAAAGAAGAATTCTGTTAATAGCAACAGCTCATTTTGAATTTTTTTAGGTAACAGTCTATATTTCTGGAAAGTTTTTTCTTTGTTCTCTACTCCTTCAGTACAGTAAGAGAGATATGGTAAAATTGAAAAGTGCACAATACTTTTTAACTTTGAAAAACTTGCATTAACTATTTAAAATGGTTTCATTTTGTAAAGATCAACAAGTTCCAGTCATCAATGAAAGCAACATTACAATTCTCCATCTGCAACTTTAGTTCAGTGCAAGTGCTTTAGGCATGGTATAGCTTGAGAGGAAAAAGGGTATGGGGAGTCAGCCTCATCACAGGATATTTAAATGAAAGGCACAACACATACCCTCCATTCACATAATCAATTTGGGATTAAAAACTGCAAATGTAAAACTAATAGCTTAAACACTTCCAACTTCCCTATTAGTCTGTATTTTGAAGCAACTCTGTTCCCTTCAAAAATTACAAATTGTTCCTGTGGTTGAAGTCTGATATTCCAAGACTGTAATTAAGCAAAATTGAGGCCTTAAACAGTATTGCATGGCAAATAGCTTTTGTTTAGTTTTCATTATGTTTAGAATTTGATCTGTTCACCACTGACAAAGCAGCTGCTTTTAGGACATCTGATCTATGAAGTTACTCAGGTGACACTGATATCATGTCATGTTCTATGCAGGCTGCTTAAGATATTAAAGCAATCTGTGTCAGGATCTTTGGTAAAGTTCTGCTTGACTGAGAAGATGATTAAATCTTATCCAATGCCAACTCTCATACTTTTGCTTCCACCTGCTCTTTGAAGCCCTAAATTTCATCTTCAGACTGTACTGAAAGGAACATCAAGCTAAGTGCAAACTCTTGGGCACAGTTTCATCTCATCTAATTTTAGGTACCAATGTCAGGCATTCAAGTTAGATGTATAATTGCCATAAGCTCCCCACACAGCCATGAAGAGAAATGAGCTTATCCAGAGGGTGATCAGACAACTTGACATCTAATTTATTCTTTAGAAATATGCTGATTCCTCTACTGACTACAGAACAAGCTTTGGCCACTATGTTTTGAATTCAAGCACCCAGATTTAGTTAAAATAAATCAAAGTCTTAAGCGTTTTCATGGTGTGCAGTGATGCCTAAAAGATCACCTGCATTTTTGAAACAGAGATCACAGTGCCAACTCTGTTTCTCAGATTAAAGATGAATGTTATACTGTATTAGATGGACAAAATGCATCTATTTAATAGGCACAATTTAGAGATGAATCAAGAAATACAGAATCAAAGTCCCCAGAAACTAAAGAACAACAAAGTTCTCCTTTACTCGAAACAAACAATTTTGGTTTGGCTTCCTCTATTAAAAGTTCACAGCATTGTATACAGATTAAAAAAATCCAGTACTTTCAAGAGCAAACAAAATATTAATCCTGTGCTCACTTAGGAGTCCATCTTTGATACTGCCTGTATCTGATACTGATAACTTTGCAATTTGCTGCAAAAAAATCACTCAGGGTGTTGATGTGCAGTTATAATAACCTATGAAGAATCTAATAATTCAAGGACAGTTTAAAGAAATTCTTTGGCTTTTTTTATAGTAGAACTTGTGGGTAGAGTTTGATGTTATTTTTTTACTCCTAAAATATAAAATGGATATGATAGAAGTTGGATACATATTTTTTAACCTGCTGGAACTTTCTTTGTTTAAAGTTACTGTGAAAGAGGATGAGCAAGAAAGAGACCCATGAACAATGAAAAGCTATAATGACATTCTTCGAAACTTCACTGTTCTAGCTCTGGAAAGAGTTCAAAACTTAATGGTACTGAAAGAGGCTATAAGAAATGCAAACAATGCTAATTCCATTGTAAAGTGTGCTAACTGCTGTATAAAGCTTTAAAGGGTCAGACTCTCCACACACTATGCAAAAAGATCACTTAATCTTCATTTTTATGGGAGTTGAAAATCATCTTATTAGAATCTCTTATCAAACTCAGGCCACTGGCCTTGAAAGTCAAAAGTTACATAGACCAAAACACTGAAAAAGCAGCAGTCAAAAGATCCAAGCAGGCTTACTTTACACTAAAAAAAGGATTTTGCCAAGCTGTAGTGAGGACAGTGGTAAGGACAACCAGAATGATATTTTGCTGCCTAAGATCAATAAATCCTGAACAACTTCGAACTTCTGAAGTTTCTGATCTTCTTGTGCTGGGAGTCCATGAACCAAAAAATGGCATCTGTCTCTACAGTATATTTAAAGATGATTTCACAGAGGTATCAATACTGTCATATATGCCTATCTTTTCATCTCTCTCCACATATATATATATATAGGAACCTCTCTATAGACATACATAAAATGTCCAAACAAAAATGTTCGAGTCAAATCAGGAAATAGAATTAGCACACACAGATTTAAACAGAAGTTTACCATAAAGATTGAAATCTATTTTCCTGCTAAAACCTGGGGTACTATGAAAGTATAAAAATATTTGATATATCTGTTGTATCCATTTTTTAAACACAGGAGAGAATAATAATAATATTAATAGTAATAGAGTATGTAAGAACACTTCCCAGGCTTTAGGCAGAACTTCAGTGGGATGTGTGTACCTACTCCCATAAACTGGGGACTTTTCCTCATTAAGTTTACAGAAAGAATATAACCTGGAGGCTGTTTTCACATGCCCAGGCTATTTCGCTTCCTGAAAAAAGTGTGAATTTTTATGAAAAACATACACAAGACAGGAGACTTATATGCATATTATACTACTGTTCTCTGCTGAGGAAGGACGTACTTATTTCCAAGGCATGGGTCGTTAGTTTGCTGATCACAGAGGGGTCCTGTCCATCCTCCTTCGCACTCGCAGGAAAAGCCTGACTGGCTGGTTGCATGGCATGTTCCATGCACACAAACTTTCTTATGGCATGGCTCACAGCCTGGCAGGATTCCCACTTGCAGTGGCACATTTCTGAAGTCCTGGAGTTCACTGTTGATGTATAGATTACGGATGCAGCCATGGAAGCTGGTGCCGTTCTGTCCAGGAGACTGGCGTAAAGCTGCTATGTTATTTTTCACAGGCATGCCTAGGAAATGAATAACAGCAAATAACCAGTGTAATTAGTTACAATTTTCTGTACCGTTTTCTCTATCTTTTCAACATTTTAAAATAAATATTTTCTCTTCATTAATTATTCTTAGATATTCAGCCTAGAACCACAAGCGATAATCTCGTATTTGGAAATAACTGTCAAGCAAGCATGTAAACCAAACCTGCAAGCAGCTCCAAACCTGCAAGTCTCTAGGTGACACCAAAGAGATGTATATAGGAAGGAGTGCACACTGGAGCAGGTTTGCTCGTGGAACTTGTGACCCCACAAGGGACCCACACTGGAGCAGCCTGTTCCTGAAGGACTGCCCTCGGTGGGAAAAGAAGGGACTGGTGCAGTTTGTGCAGAACTGCAGCATGTGGGAAAGACTCAGGTTGGAGAAATTCATGGAAGACTGTCTCCTGTGGGAGGGACCCCACACTGGAGCAGAGGAAAGACTCCTTTCCCTGAGGAGGAGGAAGCAGCAGCAGAAACACCAATGTGATGAACTGGCTGTAACTATCATTCACTGTCAGGAGGAAGCAGCAGCAGAAACACCAACGCGATGAACTGGCTGTAACTACCATTCACTGCCTCCTTGCACTGCTGAAGGGAGGAGGAGAGAGAGAATTGGGAATAAACTTAAGACCAGGACGGAGTGGAGGAAAGATATCTAAGATTTATTTTACTTCTCATTATTCTACTCTGCTTTTGATTGGTAATGATTTCAATTTATTTCTTCGAGTTGAGTCTGTTTTGCCTGTGACAGTAACCAGTGAGTGATCTCTCCCCACCTTTATCTCAACTCTTGAGCTTTCATTATATTTTTCTCTCCTCTGTCCAGTTGAGGGGGGGGTGTGATAGAGCAGCTTTGGTGGGCACCTGGCACTTAGCCCTGGTCAAACCTCCACAATAAAACAGGCTTGGGGACTATTAAAGGACTCTGACTGCAAACAATCATTAATTTCCATCTTCACATCCAACCACCATATTCTCAAACCAGAGACAAGGCACAGTCACCAAGGCTCCTTCACCCTGTTGTCTCCCTTGAAAGCAACACTCAGCAAATGTTTAGGCACGTGGCTTGAAGTATCTCATCACAGAATAGATGCACTGAACTTACCCCTTGTAAAAATAAAAGGTGTATAAACTAAGTGTCAGGAAATTCAGATGTGATTCCTAGGGACCATAAAAGAATGTATGATTCCAGGTGATAGGAAGCATATCAAACATGATTCAGAGAATTTTTGTCTGTATCTCTAATATGGAAGACATTAGGAAACACAATGCAAGCATACACACAAGCTTTTAGCTTATACAATTTTTGTTTCTTCTAGCAAGCTACCAAATGTTAGAAGCCTAAAGTGTGTGCCAAAGCTGCTCACATTCCTTAACAATATTTCTTAGATAATTTTTACATAAAGGTTCTTTACCAGTTAGGAAAGAAGTGCCATAGAAACAATGCAAATAAATATTTAAGATCTTCTTTTGGCAAGGTAATAGAGTAGTTCTCACCCCCTTTTAAGCTTTTGGTCACTGCACCTGACTACAGGTAAATTACTGCTCAAGGAGGCAAATGGTAAGCCCTCTATTAAATAACAGTCATACAGTAAAACTGTCAAAATGAGTATCTTATTCTAGAAGATGCTAGAACAGAGAAGGCACAAATGAGAAGCAGCTGATCCCCTACCTGTCTCAGAAATAGGGACATCCATGAAAAAAGGTGCCACTCTCAACTAGTAAAACATGCTTTAATTTCTGAGAGAAGAATGTGAATCATCAGTGCTGTCTGTGACTCCTTTGAAGAATTGTTTTTAGACAAAAAAATTTGTCCCTTAAGATTTCTTACAAAAAGATATGATTTATTGACATTTCTTATAGAAAGACTGAAAAAATATCCAGCGTGTGTATTCTGACCACACTAGAGAGCCAAACAGTTGGAAAAAGGTTAAAAAATTCTAAATCAATTACCTCCCTTTCTGTAAAAAAAATGTTAAATTACTCCTTCCAAACCAACCTACATATTGTGACCCAACAGTATCATTAAAAGAAAAAAAGAAGGGATGGAGGGGGGTGTTGGGGAGGCAGGGAGAGAGGGAATGAGAGACAAGGGTTTGCTGTCAAGTCTGAATTTCATCCTGCCAGCTGAGGTGATGCTTACCAGAAATGCCATTTTAGCAGGAAGGTGGTAAGACTAAGTGTAAGCTACATGATGATATAGGTGTCAAAGTAAGACTTTGGCAAAGATAAAAATACTGTATAAAATCCTAGTGAGAATTTAAGTTCTTAACTGACAGAAATGTGTGATCAAATTCTCTAAAACTCTAGATACAGATGGCTAAAATTTAATGCATCTCAAAAAGATGGGTAATATAAAGATAGAAGAGTGAAAATTAACTGTCTCAATGATTTAAAAAATCATAAATAGAAAAATTAGATAAACATAGGTCTCAATGATTTAAAAAATCATAAATAGATAAATTAGATAAATATAGGTAAAGAACAGAAAAGCTTAAGAGCTGAACATCAGCCTATTGGGTTTTTTCCTTTTTTTTTGTTATAATGTGTTTCTAGTATTGGTTTCCATTCTTTTTTGGATAAGCTGAACATCAGCCTATTGGGTTTTTTTCCTTTTTTTTGTTATAATGTGCTTCTAGTATTGGTTTCCATTCTTTTTTTGGATGACCATTTTCTATGACAGCAAAAATAATTGCTTAGAGGCTGAATGTGAAGAATAGAAATAGAAGAAACTTGGGACCTCTCTGAAGAATATCCACTAGGATGAAAAAACTGCTGCTCTTAGGAATCAAGGCTTCTGATACTTCAAAATGACAATGCAGATTAGTATGATTCTCCTAATGGAGACACAGATCTGCAAGGTGAAGAAGCAAGAAGAAGAACTCCTAATGGAGACACAGATCTGCAAGGTAAGAAGCAAGAAGGAGAATCATATGTCACAAATCAACAACTCAGTGTTAAGAATGCACCGAGTAAATGTTTATAGTTGTCTCTCTGGTCTCATTTCATCAAAAGGTGCCTGTAATAGACAGGGTGATGGTTCTGCACTAACCTCAGTTTTCAAGTAGTACAATTGGCCTTAGAGTCATTAAAAACCAAAGTGATGCTGACAATACAAGTAAGCAAGCACACTGTCTTTTTAGAATCTAGGACCACCTTTTCTGAATAATGTGGCGTAGTTAAGTAGACAAAATGGAAAAGAAAGTAGCTGTTCTTTCTACAGAAAGAACAGATCAGGAGGAGACTCCTTACATGATTCCCGTAAGAGTGTAAGGTTAAAATAAGTAGAAGATTGGTAGAAGATAAGCAGTATGTAAAAACCATGCTGAATCTCTGATCACTAAGAACTTAGACTTGCTACCAATTCAGTCAGGAGGCACAAAGTAGCGGCTGAATTTTCTGACTTTTACCTAAGTTGCACAGGACTGTCAGAAATCCAACAGGAACTGCTGGGTTAAAGCAACATGCTTGAATCTATAGCTCTACAGAGTAAATTGCAGCAAATGATCAAAAATTTCTCAAATACTTTAGCTCCACAATAACCTACTACCAGTTTTACTTAAAAAACAATTTTTTCTTCTCAAAACAAGCAAACAAACAAAAATAACAAGCCCTGCCATGTACTGTGAGGCAACTATCCAGTTGGTTCCCTTCTTACCTAGTGTCCTAACTCCTATCAGCCCTAAGCAGTAAGATCTCTGGACATAAATTACACTTCATGGCTTTATACTTTGCTATCATTTCCTGCAGATACCTGTACAGTGAAATAAAATTGTGAAACATGAGCAAACAAGAATGCTACCATTCTACACTTTCTGAATAGGCATTACTAAATCTTCATGTAGCTAAACAATGTTAAACACACTTCTTCAGAATAATAAAAAGCTAAATAACAATAGAAAATAACAGCATTTTACAGTAGTAAAAAAACCTCTGTAATTATAAATTAAAGTTAAAACTTCAATTTAACTGCTGAAGCTTCATCTTAAAATATTATTTCAATGAATGAGTGTCTCACCATGTAGTTATTAAAGCATGTTACCAGAGTGAATTAGCTATGACACCTCTAGTAAGAAGCAATAAGATCCTCTTACCTCCTACATACAGCGGAGAATCAAAATTCAGAGTGGATTGCTTGGACAGATTGGTAATTATCTTGGGGCTTCCTCCATCAATAGATAAGGATAGAATCTGATCCATAGCTAGCAGCTCCACAATGTGGAAATTGCCATCATTAATTGTTTCCACACTGCAAAATAAACATTAATATTAAACGGTGGTTTGGTTAGAGCAGTTTTTTAACTTTTTCCACTTTAGGAGTTAATACAGTTTCGGAACAGAACTTCTCCAGGAGTGCAGTCTCCTGAAAACTAGATTTTAATCAAGGACATGCATGTATGCTTCAAAGCTATATTATAACACAACTTCTGCAACAATGATTACAGGGCTGGAACACCTTTTCTATGAAGACAGGCTGAGAAAGTTGGGGTTGTTCAACCTGAAGAAGATAAGAGTCCAGGGAGGCCTCATGGCAGCTTTTCAATGCTCAAAGGGAGCTTATAAGAATGATGGAGAGAGACATTTTACCAGGGCCTGTAATAACAAGACAAGGGGTAACTGTTTTAAACTCAGAGAGGGTAGATCTAGGTCAGATAGAATCTGTGAAGTAAAAGAAGCAACATAAAGAAAAAAATCTGTAATATGAGGGTGGTGAAACACTGGGACAGGCTGCCAGCAAATATGTAGACCTGTTACTGGAAATGTTCATGATAGGTTGGATGGGACTTTGTGCAACCTATTCTAGTGGAAGTTGTCCCTGCCCATGGCAAAGAAGGTGGAGCTAGTTAAAGGTCCTTTTAAACCTAAACCATTCTATGATTCTAATGTTACTTTAGGATCATATTTACATGTATCCTACATGTTATAGAGTATTGGGTTTACATGTTTTGCAAGTGTGAAGGCCTAGTTGACTCCAGTGATACATAAATCTACTGTTTCATGGAATATGGAACTGCACCTAACCTTAGTCCTGCCAGTCAAAATCACACCATTGGTCCAGAGAGCTCCACCAACACCAACAATAAAGTAATTTGTCATTTTTATTGAGCATGGTCATTTCTGTGACTCTGGCTAGTACAGTGAATATGAATACTGCTTTTTTTTTTTTCTTGTCTACATATACCATTTTCTTCTGCTTACTAACACTGGTTACTAACAAGATGTGAACTTGCTAATAGGAGACTGCCCAAAGGGTGTCTTCCAGAAAATGCTTGTTTCAAGCGTGGTGCTTATGCTGTATAAGGACAAGATTACTCATGTTCCTAGGCACAAGAAATGGTTGTGTGTGCTTATCAGCCTCAATATCTACACAGCAAGTGTTTAAGTGCAGGGTATCTGCTCTGCACTTGAACACAGTGTAAGTACATCAGAGAAGGAAGAATATCATTACTCAATTCTATGACTCAATATGTCATTGTACTGGCATAACTTCTAGCCTATTTTTCCAGAGAATTAAGAGCTGAATGTATGGCTGCATGGAAGATGTGACAATGAGCTGTAGTCCAGAGTCCAGACCTTATAACCATTCTCAAGAAAGCCTTTATTTGCTTCAGGGCACCATCAAATAAGTGAGCTTAAGCCTTTGAAAAAAAAAAAA